GGGGCCGGGGAGCTGCCCACCCTCACCCCGGCGGGGGGACCCCCTCGGGAGGAGGTAAGACCCGCCGCCGATCGTCTCCAAGGGGGAAGCAAAGGCCGGCCCCGCGGCTTGGTTTTTACGCTGCGCCCTGGGCGCACCGGCGCCTCTTTGGGGAGGGCTCCCAACCCCTAAGAAAAAAAGGGGGGAGGATCAAGACTCGGGGATCGGGCCCCCTTCTCCCCTTCCTCCACCCCCCCCACATCCCGATCCTGTTTTTTGTTCCCTCTTTTTTGCTGCATGGACCACGTGCCGCTTTGTGCCTAATAAAGTGAATTTTCTCCCATGACAGCTGATTCACAAATCTCAACTTTCCTTGTATTTGAAATGGAATGGAGAACGGTAGAAAATTAAACCTCCCTTGAATGTTTAGACTTGATTTGTCTAGTGATGTCTCGGTCAAATTCAAGGGCAAAAATTCATCCTGACTGATGATGAATCGCTGTGCCCTCCAGGAGACGGAAAGACATTTCTGATTTTCTCCCATGACAGCTGATTCACAAATCTCAACTTTCCTTGTATTTGAAATGGAATGGAGAACGGTAGAAAATTAAACCTCCCTTGAATGTTTAGACTTGATTTGTCTAGTGATGTCTCGGTCAAATTCAAGGGCAAAAATTCATCCTGACTGATGATGAATCGCTGTGCCCTCCAGGAGACGGAAAGACATTTCTGTGGAGCCTTACCAAGGAATACGGAGTTTTTGAGGAAGCGGGTCTTTTGTAAGGCTAATGGGTTTTTAAAGGCCCGATTCAAGAGCAAGCCACTCCAAATAATTAGTATCAGTCACGACGGTGTATGAGCTTAAAATCCTGTTCTGTAGCTATGTTGGCAGAAAGGATCTGGCATAACTTGCAGCGGTCTAATTAATGCAGCGGTCTAATTAAGAGAGTCCCCCGCTTAGCTTCCTTCTTGTGTGCCAATTGGATGGAGACTTTTCGGTGGGGACTCATTAATTAGCGGCAATTAACCCGCTCCAAGTTGCTCCGCTTGGGGTGTTCTGGGGGAAGACCTATAGCGCCCCCCCGGCCTCCAGCTGCCCTCCAGATGTGGAAGCGAAGGAGAGACAGGAAGAAGGAGGGAGAGAGAGACAGAGAGAGGGACACACACACACACACAAAGAGACACACACACAAATCAAGTCTGCCTTGGTATTTGGCCCCCTCAAAGCTCCAGGGCCACTGCACCCCCCGCTGGCCCTGGTTCGGACGTGCAGCCGCAGATTCCCGTGACAACGGAGGCCCGCAGGCCCGAACCCGGGCTGTGGAAGCACGTGGGGATGCCTCTCCCGAGATGCCTCGTCATTGTGCCAAAGGGAGGCAGCGAGGCGCAAGCGAAAGGGAAGGAGATGCCAATGATGGAGAAGGGAGATCTCGCGTGTCGGGGGGGGCCCTTCCTGCTAGGTGCTGAGGCTCAGACCCTCCGTGCCGTCTGGATCGGGCCTCCGGCGGGGGTGGCGAGCTGTGGGCTCCTTTCCAGCCGCTAGGGAGGAAGGCGGAGCCGGCCGGCGG